TGAGACATAAAATATAATGGTGGGCTCAAAGGGGATGCTGAGTCAGGGTGAGTTGCGGACAAGGTGGCCGTTAGCAAGTTCTGGTGTTGGGGTGGTCGACGTTTGTGTTCTGCGGACGTGCACTGGTGCCCCGGGCTGCCGGCCAGGCCGGAGCGGCGCGGAGCTGCGAGGGCCGAACGACGCTGCTTGCAGCTTTAATTTGTATTTTGTAATTTGAATTTCTTTTATTGTTGATTTATTCAGTATAATTACTTACAACTGTACCATGTTCAGCGCTTTGGGCTTCCTGACAGGGTTCCGGAAGGCGCTTTATAAATAAAGCTTTGATTGATTGATTGATTGATTGAATTAATTAGGATATTAGGATATCCACGGGGCACCATCCCCTTTTAACAGGGGGAAATGAATCCACACCTCCTCTCAATATGTCTAAAGTTAGTAAATTCTTTTACGAGCATTAGTTCATAATTCCATATCACACCAACAAATTCACTTGGGACAAAACTGAATTGGCAATAACATTTATTAACTAATATAATCACTTCAGCTCCTTCTAAAGTGTTAGTCAATCAATATCAACCAACCTATTTTATCAACAACAATTAACAATGAAATAATAAATGTGATGTGACAATCTGATATGGGGTAACCCAAGATGGAGGGAGTTTTTGAAACCCAAACTGGCTGGTTCCTTTTGTTCCTTCCTCCGGTGTGTGTGTGTGTGTGTGTGTGTGTGTGTATGTGCTACTTTCTCCTCTCACCACCACACTGAAAACCAGTGTGTGTGGGAGGTGTGTAAGTTTTCTCAAACTTTCAAACAGTCAGTGGCTTAACTTTCACCTTAACTCAATAAAAAAACACTTCAAAACCCCTTCACAAAGAATCAGGAAGCAAAACAAAACAATCAATCAAAGGCAAATGAAATATCTAAAACTGTCAGCCTGGCCACAGCGTGAACAACTTAGATATTAAACAATAAAGAAACAGAGCTTACTTCAATTGTCCGATGGCGTTTTTGGTACGGGAAATAGAATGCCCGGTGCTACTTTAAAGCGTTCACGCGGCCGACCGCTTGTTCTGAACTATAGGAGAACGGGAGAGGAAGATAGATAGAAGAAAAAAATAAAAACTTGCAGGAGCAAAAACCGAAGCATCCCTCGGTTTTCTTGAACGGATGATTTGAAGTTTTCCGTTAATTCCAGCAGCTCGGCGTCCACACGCATCCGGAGCCATAGCAGAATGAGTGTCTCTTCAAACACCAGCTGAAGCTGGACACAAAGAGGCTTACGTTTCGTTTTCCTCTTGGTCTTATACTGTCCAGCGGCTACAGTCTGGGGGGCCGCTGGGGTTCGGCGTCGCTTTGGTGATGTCATCACGTTGCTTCCGGCCGCAAAGAATCATGGAACATGGAGTCTGCTGGCGCTGGAATTTATTATCTGCTTTTTCAGAGCGCAGATGACACAGTTTTTGGAGAAAATGCTGCGTAGCAATTTCTCCTGAGGGCAGAACCTCAACAAGGGTCATCAATGTTTGGACAGTATATGCTGACAATACATAAGCTTTGATTCTGTACAGATAATTTTAACATTATAAATCTACTCTCTGGATCAGAAACTATGTCCAATACTGTGAAATTGATGTTTTTGTGTGTTAAAATAGCTACACCTCTTTGCCTAGAGTTATAGCAGGCAGAGAACATAATGGGAAACTCAGGTGTTTTAAGTTTATCTGCAGTTGTCGCAGATCTATGAGTCTCTTGTAATAATATTGTGTCTGCTTGCACTCTGTAGCTGATCAGAAATCTTTAATCTCTTCTCTCTAGAGCCAGCTCCATGTACGTTCCAAGAGACAAACTTTAGTGCACCCATAGATGTGTGTGTGAGTAGCTAAAATATGACGCCTTCATGTGAATAAGATGGAATAAGTATCTAAATGTATAAAATAGTATGTTAATAAATAACAGAAAAGTAAATAATAATAATAAAGATCCAACAGTGTTTGTGGTTGTATTATTTGATGCATAAATTATGATATTGTGCTGTGGATTTAGTATATGTATATGTCAGAATCAGAATCAGAAAAGGTTTATTGCCATTGTCATTGAACAAGCAGTTCACAAACTAGGAACTTGCTTCGGTACTAATGTGCTACATATAACATGAATAATAAATTTCAAAAATAGAATAAGTAGAATAAAATATAATAAAACTAGCATAAAACATTCAGCTATAAAAAAGGCAGGTAATGGTAATATGGCCGATAACGTGACGTTATGTCAAGTACAGCAGACGAACATGGTTGTGTGTTTATAAGCTGTTCACAAGTCTAACGGCAGATGGGAAGAAGCTGTTCTTATGGCGGGAGGTTCTGGTCTGGATGGACCGTAACCTCCTGCCTGAGGGGAGCGGCTCAAAAAGTCTGTGACCCGGGTGAGAAGGGTCAGCTGCTATCCGGCCTGCACGCCCCCGAGTTCTGGAGACGTACAGGTCCTGGAGAGATGGAAGGCTGCAGCCAATCACCTTCTCAGCAGAGCGCACAATGCACTGCAGTCTATGTTTGTCCCTCACTGTGGCTCCAGCGTACCACACAGTGATGGAGGAGGTGAGGATGGACTCAATGATGGCCGTGTAGAACTGCACCATCATCTGGGCCGGCAGCTTGACCTTTTTCAACTGCCGCAGAAAGTACATCCTCTGCTGGGCCTTTTTGAGCAGGGAGCTGATGGATGGCTCCCACCTAAGGTCCTGTGTGATGGTGGTTCCGAGGAAGCTGAAGGAGTCCACAGTGGTGACGGGGGTGTCCGTCAGGACGAGGGGGAGAGATGGGGCTGTGACTTTCCTGAAGTCCACAATCATCTCCACTGTCTTCTGAGCATTGAGCTCCAGATTGTTGCTGCTGCACCAGTACACCAGCCGTTCCACCTCCCTCCTGTAGGCGGACTCATCACCGTCAGAGATGAGCCCGATGAGGGTGGTGTCGTCCGCAAACTTGATCAGTTTAACGGAGTCATGGCTCGAGGTGCAGCAGTTTGTGTACAGGGAGAAGAGCAGAGGAGAAAGTACACAGCCCTGTGGAGATCCTGTGCTAATTGTCTTAGTGGTGGAAACATTCTTCCCCAGCCGCACACACTGCCTACGGTCTGTCAGGAAGTCCGTGATCCACCTGCAGGTGGAATTGGGTACGTTGAGCATGGAGAGCTTGTCCTGGAGCAGAGCAGGGAGGATGGTGTTGAACGCAGAGCTGAAGTCCACAAACAGGATCCTAGCGTAGGTTCCCGGGGAGTCCAGGTGCTGCAGGATGAAGTGGAGGGCCAGGTTGATGGCGTCGTCTACAGATCTATTAGCTCTGTATGCGAACTGCAGAGGGTCCAGGGTATATTTGTGTGTGTGTGTGTGTGTGTGTGTGTGTGCGTGCGTGCGTGCGTGCGTGCGTGTGTGTGCGTGCGTGTGTGTGTGTGTACGTGTGTACGTGTGTGCCGTGTCTGACGCAGTGTTGGAAAGTTGTGTGGTTGTGCCATACAGGTGTAAAGGTACAGAAGCAGGTAAAGAGAGGAAATGAAAGAATTATACAGGTTAAAAAATAAGAAAGAACTAAGAAAAGATGATAGGGGTGTGAGGTGGTGATGAACAGGTGATCTCATCATCTAGAAAATGGATTTAGCAGCTGTTTAATCCCGACGTGATCAAACCCAGTGAATCCTGATAAGAATAGTAAATGTCTGACCTGATGTTGGGCTAATACAGCCAGTCTGTCAAGACCTCATTAAAAGGCTGCATAAAATCTACTGAAACGGCAGTAGAACAGGGTAAAATAAGAGCTGTGTCTCATAACGCTTAACTCAGAGCGTCAGAGGGACCGGTGGCGTCAGAGCTCAGCTGCCTCACCTCATTGGCACACGCCAGGGCAGCTGTGGCTACATCGCAGCTCATCACCACCAGTGTGTGAATGGATGATTGTGTTGTGAAGCACCTTGGGGGGTTGTAGAACCCTAAGAAGGCATTTTACAAATACAAAAACAGGCCATTTTAGTAGTGTTGCTTCTTTCATTCAAAAGTTGATTAGCATTTCTCTTTCCTCCAGCCATGTTCCTCTGTGTTTTAAACAGCTGTTGGGCAACCACTCCTGACAAAAAGAAATGCTTATCACTCTTGTTTGGCCAGTTTTAGGCCATTTTCTTAGCTCTGTTTTCATTCCGAGTTGCAGGACTACCTCAACTACTGCACAACGATTTTTCATAACAATTTTGTCTGGGTGTAAAAACACACGACAGCAATGAAAGTGAGTGCAGTGGTTCAGTCAGGTTTTTATCATTTACACCAGTTGGCAAAGGTTATTCACTTATTAGCTACTTGCCACCTGGACTGCTGCACCTCCCTCTACTTTGGAGTAGAGCAGTCATCCCTGAAAAAACTGGTCCAAAATGCAGAAAGCGTGACCATGTCACTCCAGTACTGGAATATCTGTATTGGCTTCTTGAATCGTACAGGATTCATGGTAACATGTTACTTTTTGTTTTTAAATCCCTCCATACATCACTGAGCTGAAAACTCCTCATGTTCCAGCTAGAAACTTGAGGTCCAGCTCGCAGTCACGCCTACAAACTGGGGGTGATGGAGCCTTGTCATGGCTGTGGAATAGCCTCCCCCTACAACTAAAGACCACACACGGTCTAGAACATGAACTGAAGACTCGTCTCTTTGAGCTGGCTTTTATTACAGGTTGACCAACATTTACTGACTGATCTTACTAGTGTGTTGTGTCATTGTGTTTATTGTTTTATTCTGCCCAAGCTTATATTTTAAGATTATTTCATGCTATTGATTGTGTTTTAATGTTGATTACTTAGTAGCTATATGAATGAATAAACCTTGAGCCTAGTGGCACTGCTCACCACTAACAATACATTCATTTTTGTTCTCTTGCACGTTTGTTTCCTAAAATCTGTTTCAATCGTCTTGTTCCCAACCACAGCTGCAAAGATGAAGGAACAACAAGGTAACTTTAATCTCACAGAAAACAGTTTTATTTGTGTGTTCTGATTTTACAGAAACAGCAATGAAACAGGAGTTCCTCCTTCAAACAGCGATGACAGTAGAAAGACGTTAAAGACACCAAGACATCATTTCATAGACTGATTACTCTGCTCTTACGTGGTTACACTTCAACAACACATTCTATGCAGCTTTGTTGTAATGTCAGAGTTGTTAGACTTGAGAGGCTAGGGCATCTTAGTGTTGCAGTCAGTGAAGGTTATTATGTTGGCTTCAAGAGGGGGAAATCAGGGCGTTGGTCCCTCCAGGAGCATTCTGGGATGATTCCCAGACAGAATGCTGGACGAGGAGGCAGAAGAGCTGCAGAGTCACCACATGTAGAAGTCATCATGTCTGCTGGAATGTGAATTAAAAGACCACATTAGAACATATCTCTATGTGTGTTAACGGTCATCAGTGTGTGAGTCTTTACCTTGGTCTCTGATCTCTGCTGCTGTCGCCACCAAACAGCAGATCTGCAACCACATCCTCCTGAGCCGAGCGCTTCCCATACCTAGCAGAGGAGACTTACAGTCAAGCTTTTCCTCCACTTTAACTCAGATTTCATTTTATGCATACAATTTCTAAAATGGTATGGTTTCATTCTCCAGATGCCTCTCTATTTGCAGAAAGTGGTTTCAAGTCAAATTCACATGCAGGAGCACCCACAAGCACCTCAATTTCAGTCTCAGTTTCCACTCTCCGTTGCCATGGTTACCCA